CCCCACCCCCCCCCCCCCCCCCACCCAACACACACACACACGTGCCCACCCAGGGCATGTTCCCCGCTGCCAACCCGGAGGACAGCGGACAGCCTGGCTGCACCCCGGCCGAGAAACGGCGACACTCACGCCTCCTCGCGAGCGGCGGCGGTCTGGTGGACGCCTACCGGCGCTTGAACCCGGTGCCGGCCGCGGGTGCCGGGGGCGCCAGGACGGAAATGGAGGGTATGACCTGGAGGGGCACAGCGGGGAACCAGGTCGCCGCGATGGGGCGGTACTACGGCAAGGTGAAGTGCGGGATGTGTGTGTGGGGGGGGCTTGCTGCGTAGGTTGGTTTTAGCACATGTGGTGGTTTCGTGAGGGATGTGGTGCACGAAAGTGATGGTTGAGGAGCGGGCCCTCCCTGGATGTTTGGCCGCTCGCTCGCGAGCGTCCTTTGGCCGGGGGCTGTGATCCTCGGGGGATGCTCTATGAATGTCTATCCCCGAGACAGCGGAAAAGGACGCGTGGTCGTTGTGGTCGAGCAGCTGTGTTTTTTCTTAGTGGGTACCCGTCGCGGGTCCCGGTTCTCATCGACGCCAATCATGGTCTGTCTCAGTTTCGTCTGCAGTGCGAGGGGTCTGGCAGGTAGTTAGCGTGAAAATCGAACCGGAGCCAAATTTCTTGTTTCTTCTCCACGGTCGAGTACTGTGTACAAAATAGGCTATTGTTGTATCGAGCTTAGTGAAGGGTTCTCGCCTGTGTTGTGTCAACGTTTCCCTTCTTTTTGGTGAAAATTTGTGTCTCTGATTCTTTTTTGGCGAAATGTTTGCTTGACTGCAGGCCCGCACTGCTTCATTTACTGTTGAACCAACTGGGCTATTGGGTGAGAGGGGTCAGAGAGGCACGCTGGCTGTGCTCGTGCCGGACCGTGAAACGAAGCCGTAGCCTCCCCCCCCCACAAACCACATGAACCGCATCCATCCGCTTACTCTTTGGCCGACATGGTTGCTTGACGCTCTTCCCCCGTCCCCAGGGCATGCGGATCGACTACTTCCTCCTGTCGACGGCACTTGCCCCGCGCATCAAGGAGGTGAAGGTGTTCGGCAGCGGAGCCGACCGTGACGGTTTCCTGGGGTCTGACCACTGCCCCCTCATGCTCACGCTGCTGCCGTAGTTTTGCTTGAGCTCGTTGCGGAAGATTTTGTCTTTTAGCGTAGTGGGGAAGAATGCGGAGGAGGCCGAGATGTTCTGTTGCTGAATCGCGCTATTCGTGTAGTGTAGACCGGGACGGGAAATCAGGCCTCGTTTCGACGTTGGATGGAGGGGGCCATGCGAACCTTACCCACCTGGTGTCAGTCAAGCTCGGTTGCCATCAACCCTCGCGCGTATTCGGAGGCGCGCGGCGCCATGGGGGGGGGTGACGCGGATTGGATAGTACGAGAGCGTGGTGTGTTGTGTTTTTCTCATAGTTGAGCGTCGTGCGGGTGTTTGTAGTGGATACCGACACCGGCTTTTGTGGATTTGGATGATGAAAGTTGTTAAATGCGGTGCATATGTTTTTCGTGACGTTTTCATGCGCACCCGCGGACTCGTCATAGGCGGTCGCACCTAGTCCAGTGCAATGCAGGTTCTTGTCGATCTAGCCTACAAGTAGTCCAGCGGAATGTGGTTTGGTTGAGCATACCTCTTTGCAGCGCAGCAGCCCCTTTCTCACCCGGCGTTGCTTGTTTGCTTGTGTGTGTCCTTCACGTTTGGTCGTTTTTCGAGCAAGCAATTCGAATTCATTTCCGACAATCCCGTCTATACACAGATGATACAAGCCGCTGCGTTAGTTTCTACCCATCACCCCCAGTGATGGCAGACGTACCAAACACACACCTCGAAATGACGGCCCAACCTCAAGAGAAAGAAACTCATTTTCTACGCGAAACGTCGTGATACCAACGATGTCAAGGCCGTAGCACGCTCTTACTTCTCTATGTCGCCGAACGGCAACTATTCACCAACATGTGCTGTCGGAAATAGGCTACTCTTACAGACACGTACACACGCACTGGGGCCATTCCGACGACCCCGCCCCCGCTCGACCGATATCAAACATGGCGCTCATACACATGTGTTGGTGGCAATCCGACCCCTTCGCCTACCCCCATCGATAGTACCCCGGGCAGTTAAAGGGTACCAACGCCTCACATCTCGGGTGGTTGCCTTGCCCTTGCAAGACTTTCTGCCGAAGATGCGTCCTGGACAACGAATAAACGTTCATATTTGTGAGGCTTACAATGCCTACAGAGCGAAGACCAGCGAAAGCACGAACGGCATTGATTTATTTCCTTGGCAACAAAATATGCCACCTACAGCAGAAGACTTCCTGGTAAAGCCATCGTACGTATTGAAAGCATAGCAAGCGGCGCTACATAGCATAGGCGTGGTGCTGCCCTCGATCCCGCCTCAGGTCGACGCCGCGGCGATCTTGTCGGTGATGATCTTTTCCACCTTAACGATGGCCTGGGAGAAGGAGGCGATTCCCTCCGCCAACTTCTCTGTCGCCATGGCATTCTCGTTCAGCTTGAGCCGGAAAGACCTGTGTGGATCGATCCCGTTTGGGTGCGTGTCGTTGCTTTGAGGTCAGAATCATTTTGCCGGGTGGGGTTGGCGCGACGCTTGGGGTCATGTACTTGCGGGCGGCTCCTCGGTCGTGCTCGACGATGCCATTGGTTCGTGTGCTGCGTTCGGATTTTCGAGTCGTGTGCAGAAGTAACCAACACCCATCACCACAGGGATTTGACGAGGTCAGCCGACCTCGCACCCCAGTTCTCTTGGCTATCAACAGACGCAATTTAGTGGATGGAGCGCATGAATGCCACCGGGCATCAAGAACGTCTTGGGTATCTTGTCGTGGGTTAACTCAACCCCGCCCGCAGATGGCACGGAGCGAGTGGGGCGCATTTCTGAAAATACGTGTGTCCTTCCTTCCGAAGGCCAACATAATTCAACACACAACACAGCACCCAAGTTGCACACGAAAAAAAAACCGACCAGGAGATAGCCCCACCACTCGCTACAGAGAGAAAAGCACAAATCGTCTATATAGGAGAACAAGGGCAGGAAGACAAAAAAAAACAAAAAAAAAACAGAGGGGGTGACCAGGAAAAGTGCCGAAGAAACTGTTAGCACCCAAAAGTATCGAGGTAGACAGACCCCCACAACAAAGGAAAAAACATCCTGAGAGCGAGCACTCCGAAACCGGGAATTTTCTGAAGTTTTTCGCCCAAACCCGTAAGGTTCCTCGCTAACATGTGGAGTACCCGGAATGCGGCGGCAACACATTGCCACGATTTGTGTTGAGGCATAGGCTACGAAAGGAGAGAAAAAAAAATGATACCCACAGCGAACCATCAGCCCTAGACACTTACTTCAAGTCTGCCGGGTAGCGCCCCCCGCTGTATGCCGTCGAGGCTGTCTCCGGCTCCAGTTTGCGCTCCACCTTCTCTGTCCCGCTCTTGAGCTCCTGAAACAACGTTCAACATGAACGAAGCAGAGTGAAAGTAAGGAGGGGGGGGGGGGGGGGTAAAGTGGCGGCCAGGGAGCACGGTCTCGCCTCGGTTAAATAACAACTAGAAGTCTCTCTTCGGTGCCGTTAGACTACGTACAGCACTCGGAACACGGCACATCGTGAGACACACACACCCCTCACGGGGGCCTAGATCATGGCCTTTGGCAGGCGTTCACCGTGCTTACTGTAGTCGCGCCGAGACTGACATTTTCATTGGTCAGCCGACTAGCTCGTTCGACGCAAACAAGTAAACAAACCCACAGGCAGGATGCGAAACACAGGAGACAAAACGCACGGCCACTTCTCGGAGCACCAGTACACTCTGCTGTGTCAGACACCACGACCACGACGATCCAAACGCATCATCACCATCTTCTCCACCCCAAACGAACTTTAAAGAGGGACAAGACCACAATGGTCCAAACGCATGGTCGTCGTCGTCATCATCATCATCATCACCCACCTCTAGGAACTTGGGAGCGATGGTGAGCCGGTCGCAGCCCGCCAGCTGCAGGATCTGCCCCTTGTTCCGGAAGCTTGCCCCCATGACGATCGTGCCGTGCCCGTGCTTCTTGTAGTACCCGAAGATCTCCGACACGCTGAGGCAGCCCGGGTCTTCCTCCGCCGCGTACCCCGATCGACCGGTGTCCGCCTTGTACCAGTCCGTGATGCGACCCACGAACGGGGAGATAAGCGTCGCCCCCGCCTCTGCGCACGCGACGGCCTGCGCCGAACGAACAAGTAATACAAGGGTGCGCGTGTGGGGTCGGTTGCCGTGATGTGCCTGTCTCATGTTCGCCGGAGTCCACGGGGATAGTTGGCAGCGCTTTCACATCAAGGGACTCGCCGCTCGGGGATGAATTAACGCCGCTGTTCCGAAAAAGGGGTTGCCGAAAAAAGGGTTGATATGTTCCGGCACTTTCGCGTTTGAAAGACCCGTGGAGTGTCCAGGAGAGGCAGGTTCCGAGAGTGTGGGGAGGGAGCGCACGGGCGACGACAGTCAGGGGCGGGCATGGAGAGAAACGCCTGATGTAACGTAGCCAAATTTCAATTTCTGCAGCATGCTACGGAAAATGTGCCAGGAGGCCGGCCCTCCGCCATCGTACTTGGCCGTAGAACTCGACCAAAGGTTCTCTTTTCTGGCAGCAAAGGATGTCATTGCGGCAACAACACTTTTTCAGTTGGGACACGCGGGCATGACGCGCCCGGCGAGGGCGCGGAGTGTTTCTGTACCTGAGCCATGCAGAAGAGCAGGGTCATGTTGCAGGAGATGCCCTCCTTCTGCAGGATTTCGCACGCTCTGATGCCCTCCCACGTGCTGGCGATCTTGATCAAAACGCGGGACTTGTCGATCCCTGTTGGATGTTGTCGTCATCATGGCAGACGGGGCACCGGGGGGGGGGGGGGGGGGGGGAAAAAAAGAGGGGGGGGGGAAAAAAGGCCCCGAAAAAAACGGGGGGGGTTCCCCCCCGGGGGTTTTTTTTGGGTCCGCCCCATTTTTTTGGGGCCCCGCCTCTGGCCAAATTTTGGGGGAAATTGGAAGTTTGAAATAACCCCAACCCCGGGCCCCCGGAAAGAAAGGAGGGCCCCCAAGACTGCGCAAAAATTTTCCCCGGG